GCATTGTAGTCTACTCTACCAGGATCAGGAAACAGTCCTCCATAAAATGCGCTGCACACATCTGAATATTTGGGTTGAACTGTTCTGGAACAGTGTTGTAAATACAACTTAACCACTGATTTCTAGTCATGTCCTGTTTTGGAAGACCAAACAAAGGAAACGAAACACACAGGGTCTTCACAACATGGCAGCGGTGGTGGCAGCAACAATAAAGTTACGCCTTCTTTCTTTGCGTGAACATTTGGGCGGCGTTATGCAAATCTTCCCACACAGTGACGTAGACATGTGGGGGCGTGTTTGAACGAGGCATTTTAGGAGGGCATGGATCAGTCTTAACTTTTATAAAGAATATCTCTTTGGGTTTGAGACTTTAGTCTTTGCAACTTTAGGGATCGTATCTATTCACTAACAGCTTGTAACACTCCAAAGAGAAAGGAAAACTTGAAATCGCATCATATGACCCCTTTAAGAAGTAAAAAGACTTCAACTGAAATATAATACGTACACATTAAATTTTCTTTTCAACATGAGATCCACTTGATCCTGGGAATGTTCAAATAAGATAAACATGATCAGTGTATTACATGCATTATAGCGGAGAAACTCTTATAAGGCACTTATAAAGCATAAAGAGCAACAGCATTGTGTGTCATACCCTGTGTCCTGGTGCAATGTATTTGTGAAATAACTCTACATCCTCTGCACAACAGGACAGCACATGCTCCGTGGCAGCCTTGAATAAGTCCTCCATTACCTGGAGAATGAGAAACAAGCTTTAAAATGAAAATGATGCATTATGATGTGTACACACTTTCAAATCCACCTTAAAACCATCATCTGTCACTAAAGACGGTCATCATCAGTCTTTAGTGCATGTAATTCACTGAGTGGGAAGGAATGAGTTTTGCACCTTCATAAGGTCGTCGAGTGACTCAGTGAAGGCAATCTCTGCCTCTACCATGTAAAACTCTGCCAAGTGTCTCCTGCTTTGAGAGTTCTCCGCTCTGAACGTGGGGCCGAATGTGTACACTGCTGAAAAAGCCCTACAACGGACAACAGCAGACGCTGAGCAATTACAAAACATTTTAGCATTCAACTTCAGCTAATGAATACTCAGCTCGTTATACATTTTGTAATGTCTAATCTAGTGGATCTCAAACCCTTGACCAACACAATAATTATAAAGGATATTTCCTCTGGTATTTATGCTGTATAAACTGATTTATAAATTGGTAAATTAAAAACACGATTCACTTGACTCTATAAGCTTCGAGAATCTGATTCTGAATGGTTTTTAATAAATAATAGTTATTGCGGGGGAAAAGCAATGATTTGAGTTCATCTTGATTTTCTGTGTTTTTAGCATTATAATTAAGTTTTAATGAATTTTTAATTTTCAAATTACTTTCATTTGGGGGCTTTTCTCAGCAAATATTGCTATTCAATTGTGTTATATAACAAATAAACTTCCTAATAAATTCACAGCCCTAATAATAAAATAAAGCTAAGATCAAGAACATGACTAGTTGTGTCTAAACTCTTTACCCTGCCATCACCTCCAGGTGCAGTTGTCCTGACACTGTTAGGTAAGCCGGCACAGAGAAGAAATGTGGGTTTGGATCGTCTGAGTCATTTTTATGACCTGCAGGCTTCAGAGAGCACAAAGAAAAGTTTTCATTGTTTTAAGGAAGAACCAAAAGTATCCATGTACCATATTTTGAAATAGTATAATTTTGCTTGTTGCTATATCTCACATTTCACCCTTCAACTAAGAAATACATAATAAATCTGACCGTACCTCAACTTGGAAGAGTTCTCCAGCTCCCTCACAGTCGTTTGAGGTGATTACTGGTGTGTGTATCTGCACATAACCGTTATCCTGTAACAACAATTAACACATTCACTCAAAAGGAAATACAAGCCATGTGAGAATTTTTGTTTCATAATTTTAATTTGTTATTAATTTGCACATTATGCAAATTATACAGGTAATATAAGAATTAAAGAATGAAAATACATTTAAAATATCTTTTTATTACTATTCAAAAGTAAAACGATTTTTTATAAATAAACACATTTATAATATTACAAACTGTATAAAAAATATATAAAATGTATAAATACATTTATATTTGTTTTATTCATTTTGTAAAATGTATAAATACATTCAGTTAATTATTAAATTACATTATTTCAAATAAATGCTGTTGTTCTGAACTTTCTATTTCAACAAAGAATCCTGAAAAAAAAGCATCATGGTTTCCACATAAATAATAAGCAGCAAAACTGTTTTAACATCGATAAGAATTGTTTCTTTAGCAGCAAATCAGCATATTAGAATTGATTTCTGAAGGATTCATGTGGCACTGAAGACTGGAGTAATGATGCTCTCCTTTACAGGAATAAGCTACTTATTAAAATATAAAACAGTTATTTTTAAATTGCATAAATATTTCACAATATTACTGTTCTTACTTTATTTTTGATCAAATAAACGCAGCCTTGGTGAGCATAAGAGATTTCTTTCAAAAACATTAAATCTTACTGATGCCAAACTTTTGAACAGTAATGTGTAAATTATAACTTTTCACCCTGAAGAATGACTGGATAGCGGTTGTAGCCTCACTGCGTATCCTGAGCAAAGAGCTGAAGGCATTTGTTCGGCATCTGAGGTGAGGAAACTGCCTGACATACTCCAGAGAATGACGCTCCTTGATCTTGAAAGGAAAGTCCTAGAGCAGACATACTCTGTCAATTTTTTATATAAATCACTTTATCTATTTTCTCTGACTGATTCATTTTCAAAGTAAAGACTCACCACAGGATTGCATTCACCAACCACTTTAATATGCTGAGCATGTAACTCCACATTTTGTCTCTTATTTATGCTCTTCTCTAAGGTGCCAGTGATGTCAACAGCACAGCCAAATGTGAGGTCTCTTGACAAGAAGGGAGGATAAATCAAAACTATACATCTACAGAGGCCCTAAAGAGTATTTAAACAAATAAAAACAACATTTTCTTTCTTTGATTTTTAGTGGATGCATGAAATCAGTTCCCTCAGATTCACACAAGTGCACTTGTTTACTGTAAATTGGAACAGTGTATGTATATATATATATATATATACATACATACACTGAACAAAATCATAAACGCAACACTTTTGTTTTTGCCCCCATTTTTCACGAGCTGAACTCAAAGATCTAGACTTTTTCTATGTACACAAAAGGCCTATTTCTCTCAGATATTGTTCATAAATCTGTCTAAATCTGTGTTAGTGAGCACTTCTCCTTTGCCGAGATAATCCATCCACCTCACAGGTGTGGCATATCAAGATGCTGATTAGACGGCATGATTATTGCACAGGTGTGCCTTAGTCTGGCCACAATAAAAGGCCACTCTAAAATGTGCA